TACGCCTCGTTTGAACCCGCCAACATGGAAATGCGCCACCGTCAAACAGGCCGATCGTCAAGACAGCAGCATGAGTCACTGAATCGTTTCCGTCTTGACGCCATCCGGAGATGGGACACTGACCGTCCCCTCCACAAACACATCTCTTTTGCCAAGCCGAAAGGTCTCTCTTCCCATCGTTAGGCTGTTTGACCTGTCACTCCCTTTTGTCCGTTTGTTGGCTCAGTCTGTACCAGGTCGCGACAGGTTTGTCCTGCCGGGCCAAGGGGAGACTGACAGGAAGGTTGAACTTTCCTTTCCATCTTCCGCAAACATGAAAAACAGTCGATTCGCCTGTAGTCGTCCTCCTCTTGGGCATTATCCACTTGTTACAAAATGTCTTCATTCTGCTGACTCCAAGGCCAGCAGCCGCTGCGGACAGACCCACTTTCCGCTCAAGACCCTTCAACAGGGACCAATGTGACTTGGTCCGACCTGTCGTGGCTACGGCCACTGGCCAGTCTCGTTCCCCTGCAGATACGGCTCTTCAAGGGACGTGTTGAGCACCAAAATGAGGCTCGATATGTTGAATCACTCAGCTCCGGTTGCCAGACAGTGCGATACACACACAAACACACACACATAGTAACCCTCAGTCCAGAGCCAAACAGTGACGAGCCTCTAAACGGCCGCTCGAGGTCTCCAGATGAGGATGATGGGAATTAAGTTTCAGTCGATCTCATACACTGCATCCACACCCATCGTACTCACACTTAAGTTATGAGATTGTCTGAGGCTCTACAGATTCGACAAAGACAAATATGCACGGCATAAGTAAGTCGGCTGGCATGATTTGCCGCTTGGAGAAGGGTGAAAACGACCGTGTGCCAGACTGCCTTCTGGAAGATAACAACGTTTTATGTCGTCTGCCTGGCATTGTTTTTCCGTTTCGTTCCGTTTCGTCCCCACATGTTGATTCCAACCGTATCGCTTCCAATACAGCATAAAATTGACCAGTCGTGTGGACTGATGCTTCAGCAGCACGCGTGTCTTTCTGCCTCTTCGGATGAAGTGATCAAGCGCATGTGTGGTAAATGTCGTATTCTCTGTGGCAGGCAGAGCTCTCTCGTCCAGAGGGCTCGTTTTCTTGCAGACACCTCGGCAGCATAACAGGCAGATGGTGGTGTGCATGTGTGTGTGTAGGTGTGTGTCAGCTAGTGCAGGCTAGAGAAGGGATGTGAAGGGGCTGGCGGTATGTCTGTTAGACTGGAGGGTGTGGAGGGTGTGTGTATGGACATACAGGTGGGTAGGGTGGGAAATTGGGGGCGGAGACTGTTAAGGTGTGAGTCTGATGGTCTCGGTGGCGAAGGGAGGGGGGGGAAATGGAAAAAATGAATGAGAAAAGAGAAAACGAGAGGATAGAGGAGGGCGAGGGGAGAAGAGAGATTCGGACGGTGGGAAGTGGAGGAGGGAGCGGTGGGGTCGGCATGATGAGGGAAAACAGAAACCATTCGCGACGATTCTGTCCTGCTCGACGACACTATTTATACAAATGAGTGGCATCGGGCTAAGACTATTTGGTGCCTGATGCACGCATGTTAATTGTCATCTCGGCCCTCGAGGAGCAGGCAAGATGAGTGTGCGCAAGATGGGCCGCTGCTTCGTCCTCCCTACCGGACTCGTCTTCACTTTGATCCGGTACATGTGTCCCGACGGCCAGAGTCCGCCCCTTGCAGGTTTGCGCAAATTAACTCCTCTCAACGTGTAAAGCACCAGATCCTACGCGCTCTACTGGCGATTAACATTTTTTCCCCCACTTTATTAACTCCTCTCCTCACACCCATACCAGGTGACAATTCCACCACCCCCGGCCCAGCTCTCTTACACTCTTGTCAGAGTCCGTTGTTCCTCGGTGCCATCCCATCCTCCGCCTCGGCCCAGATCTCCCACCCATCTCTGTTAATAAATACGTGCATCCTCGTACCGTCTGGCGGAAGCAATAGACGCGCCGAGAAAATGACCGGAGTCTATTTCCCACCGTCATCTGTACTTCACTCGTACATATATATATATATATATATATGCATGTGTATGTGTGGGTGTGTGTGTGTGTGGGTAAGAGTGTGAGGGCTCGAAGTGAAAACATGCTCGTGCGCTGATGCATGAGGCGGAATCAGTGGACCGCGGGCAAATAAGGCATGGGACAGATCGGCTCTTCTTAATTGGAGCCGTATGGCTGTCTGTCGGCAGAGTGTTTGGCCGAAACAAGCACCGGCTCCAAGACAACGGCCGACCGGGTCTCGTATTCGTGTCTGTGATATATGTCCACCGGTGAGGTCTGATGCTCGGCCAACTTTGGCATGACAGCAGAGGGGTGCTGTCCTGACAGCACCTGACGGCCGAGTCTCTGGACACATATTTGGCCGTGGCAATTAGTGGCCGGATCACTGGCCCCTCGACGTGGAGCCAAGTGGTCTTAAGTCGACTCCTCGACTGACAAACTGACAGTCCTACCTGTTGGCTTGCAATCTGTCTACTGTCCCCTTAGTCCTATCCACCCATCCGCCCGGTCAGCGGGCCAGACTTACATAACCATTATTCATACAGAAGAACAATTATCCATCTATTCACTTATGCCCATCTATCCGCACACAGACACAGCCGGTCACGGAGGTTGCAGTGAGGAAATGATTGTCCAATTCAGTTACTTGGGCGCTAATCAATGATTGTTCTCTACAAGAGAGTTTCAGATTCATTTTTCTTCTAAATGTCAGCTGGCTCAAACCATAACAGCACAGGCCTGACTCAAAACTTGTCCGGTCTGTGCACACTTCAGCCGCTTCTGACCCCATCACTCTTCCTACTTCAGACAAATCGCACACTTCGCTCACTCTGAAGCGACAGGGTTGCGTGATGTCCAAAAATGTGCCGCAGCACAAATTCTCAGCATCGCGTCTGGAACGCATCGAGTCATAGTATCGACAGTGAAATGAGGATGTTTCACCCCTTTCGGCTGTAACACAATCCAGCATCGAAATTGCCTGGAGGAAATGTTCTTTTACATCCACGAAATGTCTTTAGTATTTATCCAACAACTAAATGAATTTCAACCCATATGCAAAAACAGGTTGGGAATAAAAGTTGGGTTTAGAGGTCTATCTTGTTTTGCTCACTTACATTTCGAGAAAAATTGGCAGATGAACAGATATGAAGGTGGATGCCAGCAATCGATAAGTGGTACTGAAAAATCTTTGTTGAGGTTGTCTCCGAGCCAAACTCTTTCGATTCTGGCTTAGCACGTTTTAATGAAAGTCCAAGCAAATTGCCTCGAAAGCGGCATCAACAAGAATGATCCAGTAAAGCAAATCTACAGTTGGTCAAAAGGAATCCGTCGTCGTCTGCTCTTTATCTCAAACTTTCACTCCAATTGGAAGTAGGCCCATAAGGGACAAAGTATTTGGATCGCAGGATTTTATAGTTAAATTAAGTGAATTTACTCATAGCTTTACATAGTTACGCATAATAATGAAATTTTACTTAAATCCTAGACATAATGTAGAAGATTCGTCTGGCCTCATTTATGCAACTTTATTGTAATATTAGGAAAACACCCAAACTAACTTGCTTCATTCTCAGATGTTTTGTCGGTATTGTTAGTAATCGGCACAAACCTTAGCACCCAACTTCAACAAATCAAAAATTAACCAGAAAATGAATAGGGGATGGCGACTTTTGATGAAAGCAAAACTTTTGAGATTATAACAAGCCCGAGGCTTGAGATTAACGTGCTGAAAATGGCAGAACGCGATACCTCCTGGCGTGTCTCCCTGTAATCACAATGTAGTTGCGAAAACGAGGTCATAAATTGTAGTCAAAACAGGAGAAACTTTTTTTTGAGGTAATATCCGGTGGAATTCTATACAATCGTATGGCCTTCTAAGATTTCAATTTAAAGGACTTGAGCTAACATTGTTTAGGAGGCTTCCATTTGGTAGGAAATTTCATGAAGAAGAGTTTCGAAGGTCGATATTACCAGAAGAGGACAGCTTCAAAACAGTGAACAGGTTGACGCGGACCACGAGACATCCTTCCTAGTTTCGGGTGAAAACCAGCTAAGCTTTCGTCCAACATATGATGGAAATCATCAGTGCTGAAATTAATTCTGACAAAAGTCTCACTTTAACACTATGTAAAGAGGTAGACAATCACTCGAAACTAGGGAGGATGTCTCGTGGTCTCCGTTAACCAAATTGTTGCATTTCAACGGGAATCAGCCGTCCTCTTATAGTGAAATAAACCTTAGAATCTCTTATAGAAGTGGGTTGACCTCGTTGTCGCAACTTGGTCTTGTGTTCAGGGAGACTATGTAGAA